ATATTTATTTGAGAGACAGAGTGAGAGAGAGCACAAGTTGGCCTGGGGGGGTGGGGGAGAGGCAGAGGGAGAGAGAGAAGCAGTCTCCTCGCTGAGCAGGCTCCTGAGATCATGACCTGAGCTGAAGGTAGCTGCTTAACCGACAGAGCCACCAAGGTGCCCCAAGAATATATTTTGAAGATAGGGCTGTCAGCATGTATTGAAGCATTGAGTGTAAGATATCAGAGAAGGAATGGGCAACGACTTCAAGGTTTTTATCCTGACAGCTCAAAGGTTGGAGCTGTCTTTATCAAAGCTGTGACAGTTAACGTTATATGTCAACTTAACTGGGCCAAGAGATACCCAGAAAGCTAGTAAGATAATTACTTCTGGGTATGCCTGTGAAGGGTATTTCCAGAAGAGATTAACATTTGAATTAGGAGGCTGAGTAAAGCAAATCTGGTCTCACCAGTGTGGGCAGGCATCATCCATCTGTAGAGGGCCTGAAAAGAACAAAAGGGCAGAGGAAGGGTGAATTCTGTCTTTTCTTGACATGGAACATCCATCTTCTTCTGCCCTTGGACTTCGGTGCTCCTGGTTCCTGGGCCTTTGGACTCTGGGACTTCTACCAGCAGGCTGCTCCATGGTTCCCAGGCCTAGGCCTCAGACTGGGAGTTATACCATCAGCTCCTCTGTTTTCTTCAGGCCTTTGGACTTGGACTGAATTATATCACTGGCTTTCCTGGTTCTCCAGCTTGTAGATGGCAGATCATGGCATATTTCAGCCTCCATAATCATGTGAGCCAATTCCCATAATGAATTTCCTCTTCTTTCTATCTCTCCATCTAGCTAGCTAGCTATCATCTATCTATCTATATGTCCTATTGCTTCTGTTTCTCTGGAGAACCCTGACTAATACATGAGCAGAGGAATATTAGGGCAGCACAGATTAGAGAGCTATGAGTAGCTTAGTTTTACATATAGTATGTCTGTTAGCCATTCAATTGGAGATGTCAAATAAGCACTTGGATATATGTGAGTCTCCTCATCCAGGTATCCACCTGATGCATTGTTTATTGTCCAACTCCCTCCTCTAGAATGCCAGCTCCATGAGAGCAGGAACTCTGCCTGTTTTGTCCACCACTATGTCCCCAGTACCTAGAAGAATGACTGGGGCAAAGTAGATCCTTAGTGAAATATACTGGAAAGGTGAGTGAAGGAATGGATGAAAGAGTTAAGTGTTCTGTATGACAAAGTGGGTTGCAAATAGGATATAGTTAGGAAATACCTGTTTGAAAGTAAAATTGCTTGCTGGGCTATTACTAGGGAGATGTTAGCAACAGATATCATGTAATCAACATTTTCTGTGTAGAACTATACAGAAATGAAGAGACACTTGCAAGGCTTCTGTAAACTTTTATTTTATACTTATGGGCCACTGCCAATGCAGGGGCCTTGGCTTCTGGCTCATTTCCACAGATTTACTTGGAAAGGTGTGATAAAGGTAGAAATTGGAAATATTCCTTCTAGTAAACCATGGCTACTTACTGGTCCATAAACAAAATGCTCATTGAAGCCTGTGTGTTATTCAGAAATCTATGACCTTCTGAACTTATGAAATGTATTTTTTCATATGCAAGAGAGAAAACATCTTAAAAAAGAAGACAATCGTCTACACAAAATGCTGTGAACTATGGCTTATATTATAGGTATATATCACTGCATGTGATGTACCAGTAAGTTATGGAATTCGACTGCTAACACGTAAAGGAGCCCTGTGATTGGATCAACTGGAACCTGATATCATTTTATACATGACTATGCTAAAATATAGCCCAACAAGTCAGCTTAGTTAATTTATCATCAGCAATCTGGTGAAGTCTGATGGGAAACATCAGACCTCTTGTCAGTTTCATCAGCATACTGAGTTGAGGAACCAGGACAATATAATACTTCAATATTTAATGACTTTTGCTGTAGCACAGGAAAAAGTACAATCTCAAATGCTGTTTTATCAAACCAACCCACCAACCAGCTAAACAAACACTACTGTTAACCCATGATTCATCCCCATTCATGCTGCCTCCCATATTCCATTTGTAATGGTGACATGTTCACAAGAATTATGAACACAGATAGATTAAAACTGACTAAGGCCAGTGGTCATGATGAGCAACCGCTTAGATTCCACTCAGAGTGTGTCCTGTGGTACGACTGCAGGGCAGTATTATTAGATTACATTAAATTCATACATACCATCACACACATGCATATATCACACACACAAGTACATTCCATAAAGACAATCACAGAAAAATTGGCTAAAAGAAATGTACAGTTGTTTATATATATTTATATACACACAGTAAAAGATTTTCTGCTGTACTCACAGTCTGTAAACATCTTGGAACATGCCCAGCAAAAGTCACTGTGGGCCCTTTGAAATGGTGACCATGTGAGAAGTAGGGGTGGGGGAGGTGATTAGATTCGTACTGGAAACCCAGAGAAGTGAAGAACTGTAAGTTCATGGTGGCATATGGGGGTAATTATATTTCACTGACATGATAAACTCAGCTGGCCACTTTGAAATGGTTTCTTATATGGAAAAGGGAATGACCAAAAAAGTCTTATTGACAGTTAACATTTTTAGAGAAATCAAGAGACTATGAGGTGATATGTAAAACATATATGTATGTGTACATGTATGTATACATGTACACATACAGGTTGCTATTACCAAATACACACATACATGTTACTATTACCAAAAAAAACAACCCCTCAATGAAAATTTCCAAGTCTTCTAAAAACATTCAGTCTCTTTCTACTAGTTGTGCTTTAGACATCAATACATTCCACTGAAAGTCTTAGGTATGGTTGAATGATACACACATTTAAATTTTGGAAGGCAGCTATGCTCACCACTATACCACCAACGCCGGCTTCACACATTTAAATTTTGGTACATGATACTGATTTTACATAAATTTATCTACAGTAAAAAAGATTGGGCTTGTGAAAAACAGAACTATTTGATTCAAGCATTATTTTAAAATTTAACATAAAAATATGCTCCAGATCTCCTGTAATGAAACACCATTACAAAAGAAAATATAGGTTCTTAAAAATTCTGTGAATAGCAGCTATTACACTGCCACATGTGGATATCAGTCTGGGCTTTAAGTGCCTATATCTGCTGCAGCTTAAGAATTGATGTTTTAAAAATAAAAAAGTGACATGAAAAACATTAACCTGATTGCTCACCTTACTGTGTCTGGCCAATTCAAAAAAATAGAAAATCTTGTCATAATCGCTAAATTTTCATGGTAACCAGTTCTCACTGGACATTCCACAGAACTGCCAGGGAAGCTGTTATGTACTCAAAGACTCTATTTTCATGCAAAAGTAGTAAATATCCCTCTGATTTAGTCGAACAGTCTCCTTTCCCCCTGCCAACTCCCACCATTTTTTGGTGCGGAATATAACATGCAGAATATGTAAATTAGATAAATTAAAGAATTAAGATTCATTGAATTTGTTACCATAACCAGTCTACCCTCTGATGTTTTGGAAAGCATTTTTCTGGGTTTGGGGCTGAGTCACAGGAGAAGGATTGGAGAAAAGATTTCTGGAAACACAGTTGCTGTGTGATTTTTTTTTTCTCCAATAGAATTTGAAGGATTATTGATTAATATCTCTTAAGATGTTTAGTTAATACTGTCCTTATGGCTGCTCCTCTCTGTGTTGTGGTTGTTTTGTTCATGGTTCTTCCATTGTATGCTTGTTCCATTCATGGGGACTGAGGTCATCAGACTTTTGGACTGGTAACAGCAACAGCAGAGGCAAGACTGGGGGAAGGAAGAGATTCTTAATAAATGAGCCTACCAACCCATTCCCAGCAGAACACAGAAGCCTTGGGCTCCTACCAAAAAATGTGAGGACAGAATGTGAGCCTGAACAGTAATCTAGAGTATGGAGCCTGTAATCTCTAGGTAGAAGTTCAACAGTCCATTCTAGTGAAGAGAAAATAGATCCCTTGTTTCTTGTTTTAGTGATTCACCAAATCAAAGTGGAAGGGAAGGCAGTGTTGGCCCAAGGGAGCGTGTCCTATGACTTGGGGTGGGCATGGGTGGAGAAGGGTCCGGAGGGGCCTGGCATTTCTACAGAGTGCATCACCTGTGTGGCTCTCTGCTTTGGGCACCTCATGTGATGCTCCTCACAGCCTTAGGTGGTACGTGCTATTTCCCCCATTTTATTAATGAGGACAGGGAGGCTTAGAGGGGAAATAGGCAGAACTGGAATTAGAACCCAGGACTCTCTAGATTAAGCTCTTTCTCCTGCATATGCTGCCTCTGTATGAAGATCAGTCAAAAGGTAGGTTTAATTTCTGAGTTTGTACCTTGATTTTCCCTTCCCCTCTAATTAGTATGTAAATTTATTAAAAGGATGTTAATTCCAGATTATATGATGGATTAATTATGACCAGCATTTTAGTCAATCCTTCCTTGGGCAGAATCTTTCTTAGAGCACTTCATGACTTGTAAACATTATCAAGTAGACTTCAAAAAGGTAGCGGCTAGAACTTCTATACCAAGATTCACCTGTTTGTAAGATTCTTTGGTATGTTTATCTCCTTCTAGATGGTCCATTCCATGAGGGGAGTCATGGGGTTTTTCCTCCCTTCTCTATCCCTAATAATAAAAAACTCCTACTGAGAGCTTACTATTGTCCCAAGTGCTTAACATATATTAACCTACCCTACCTATGAGATAGATACAGTGATCATCTGATTTTACAGATGATCGAACTGAGGAGGCAGGAGGGGTACCACCTGGACCCGGATTAGACAGTTAGCAAGTACAGAGCTGTGATGTAAATCAAGATTGCTTGCTTCCAGATCCTGCACCCTTGACCTCTATACTACTCTTCCTAATATGTGCCATAAACTGAGGTGAAACATCCTGGCCAAAGATAACAAAATCCAGTTAGGATTAATGCCATGCTAATCATCCCAGGAACTGGAGAGATGATACCTCAGGAAGAAGTACATGGAGCTTCTGGAAGACATGGATTGGCTTAGCTGCAAGGAAGTTTGAAGAACAGAAGGAAACTGATTTCAAATGAAATTACATTAGTTCAGATTGCTAGGGCAATAAGCATTTTCTTTTCTTGAAGAGGCTGTTATTAAATATCCTATTATTTAGCAAGATCTTTTTTAACAGCAGATTTCATGTTTTGTTGAGGCTGTGGTTAACATCTAAGATAATGTGAGGCATGACTAGGTCGTGTGTATTTTCTGGAGCCTAGAGCTTACAGTTGAGCATTTCTTTATAAAGCAGCATACAAAATTAACATGTTATTAAGTTCTTTTTATTTGAACCCCTGAATATTTTGTTGTCTGAATTGGTATTGCTTTTTGGACAATTTTTCTGACAATATTGCTTTATGCTGACAATCTGACCCTCTGTCTGGGTAACAAAATAGGATTTTCACTTCTCTACTGGAAATTAGCCATGATTGTTGGCTACTTCATGTAGTCCTTTGGTTGTCCTTAAAAAGATATGTGTAAAACAGTCTTACCTGGAAACAATTCTTAAATTTCTTGCTCACAAAGTATAGAGCTATGGGGTTTATACAGGAATTCATGGTTGCCAAGTTAATGCCGATGTAATCCATGAGCAGCAAGAAACTAGAACAGAAGAAAATAGTAGAATAATTAGACGGTAATGTTTTTCAATCTGCTAACTAGCATTTATCCCTAGAATAAGCATTTTTCTTGCCCAGGAGCCATTCCTTATAGGTGGCAGTCAGAATTTTTTTGAAGTCCTTGTTTCAGTGGCAGTTTCAGTTCTGCAGAACATTTACGGATATACCTGCCACTTGGTTAGCTCAAACCATGACGCACAGCCCCAGGAGGGGTGCCGCAAAATTACAGATATGGCTCGCACAAACTCTGGAATCAGTCACGGGCTATGTCAGAGAAAGAAAAATAATCAACTCTGCAGTTTTAATTTTCAGGGCTAATGAGATTGTAGACTAGATGGTTTTGTAAAAGTATTATAAGCACGACAACCGGAGAAACTCCGATTTCCTAACGAGTACACGGGCCCGTACCTAAGTAATTCACATCGGTTCTTGTCCATCTCATCGTACACGGTTTTCTTCAAAATACGGCTCAAGTGAAGAGGGAACCAGCAAAGAGCAAAAATGACAACCAAGCAGAAAACTGTTTTTGCCACTTCTCGACGCTAAAGGAAAGCGAGGGGAAAAAAAGTACAATAAGTTTAGTGTTTTTCTGCTAGAGGAAAGAACCACACAAAGGAAGCAGTAGATAGCAGAGAAAGAATTACTTTAAAAACGGCCAGAACAGCGCTCCTCCCAGTGCCTCCATCTCGTCAAGATTTGAAGTCCAACTTTCTAATCAAGGAGTTGCTAATGATTCTTTTGGGCAGCTGCCAGGGAGGATGGTGGCCTCAAGCTGGTTATTAGGGTCAGGACAGAAGTTCCAGGTCAGGGAAATGGGAACTGGCTGGAGCTGAGTGCGTGTGCGTGTGCGCGCGCGCATGTAGGTGACTATATGGGGGGAAGGGTTAACTAAAAGCCTAACTAGCATTAATGACAGCATGGCAGTCAAGGTGACAGAACCTAGCATGATAAAAAACGAACAAATCTATGAAGATATTTAGAAAACAGAAGTAGGGAATAGAAGAGAAAAAGCCAATAGCCATGTGTTTTCTCCATTTCTTGATGTTGAAGAAAGCTAGCACTGGGAGTTCTTTCGCTTTTAAAATTCTTTTATTAATGACATGTAGCTTCCAAAGACCTCTTGTTTGCAAACAGAGGGATGAGGGTAAAGGATTATCAGCAATGACAATTAGAACGACTGGGACATGTTGACCCTGGGCCGACTTCGGTTTGAAGGTTTACATAATTTAGAGTTCAAGGGATTATTTGGATGCTGGTAGCAGTAGGGTTCAGAAAAATCATAGGTTAGGAATTATCTGCAACCAGACATTTGTGTGCATCATGCTTGAGTATTACAATGCATGCATTTGAAAGCCTAAATAGGAACATAAAATGCAACTTGTCTGTAACTGGGATCAGTTAATGTCAAAATAAAATTGATTGAAAACAGAATTTGGCAGGGTAATGCTGGTTCAACCCAAAGCATATAGCATTAAGTATGGGAAGCCTACAATAAACCCACATGATTAATAGAGCCATTTAGAAAGATTTCAAGGCAGTTGTCACCAATTGCTGCTCTAGCCCAAAGGACTGGAGTTCTTTAATCTTTCAGAGTTATTGGGTGGGAGGCTGGGCTATGGCTTCAGAGAACATACAAGCTGAGCAACAACTGAGAAAATGAAGAGTTCCAATCTGTAGGAATAGGGGCTGATTTTAAAGGGTCCTTTTGTGTACATGGAAAGACAGTGTGACCGGAAAAAGAGAAAAGGAGGGTACTGGGGGAGAGGCTATCTCCCTTGAGCACATCCTCAAAGAGGACGATCCTTCAAAACCTAATATTAATATGTTGCCATGGCAGTCTGGTATTTGCTTAACCAGTATCTATTCTCCGGTTTTCCTTACTATCAGTCAGATCCTTGATTTTGTTGCTGCAGCAAGAGAGCTCAGGCTAATCATCTGCAAGGCCACCCGACACAGTCTGACCACGGAGATCAAGTAGAAATCGTTGTGTGAGGTTTCTGGAAAAGCTATTAAAAAGTGGAGGCTAGTCCTCTGATGCACACACACGAAGGTGACCTATATTCTTTCCCTTTTTGCTGCCTGGAAATCTGATATAAGGGTAGAGTTGTATCTCCTGTCTTCTAAAGGAAAAGTCAGCAAAAGAGCTGAGCCCTGGCTTCTGAGTCCCTTGAGCACTGAACCAGTGACATCTGATTTTTTTGCTGTGGGAGAAAGAAGAAACCTTCACTTGTTTTACTCAATGTTATTTTGGGTTTTCTGCTACCAGCATCCATCCACAATCCCTAACTGATAAAAGTTGCTGTCAGAATAATGAAGAGAAATTCGAGAAAACCACGCAGGAAGCATGACCGAGAGCCATATACTGGATACTGGTCAAAGGGCGGCAGGGCTTTTCACTGTGAGCTTAGCTCCCCACAGTCCCAGTGGAAGGCCTTCCAGCCGGGCCTGCTCTCCTGCTGTTAGAACCTGCTACAGCTTTGGGTGTGACACTAGGCAATGCCTCATAGGACCAAGACTTCAGTTTTAATCTCCATTTGGATGAGCCAATCTCATAAAACAAGTGTATAAGGACATCTGTCCTGCCTATATCACAGGGTGCTTGGAGGAATCAAATAAGCAAATAACATGCTCTTTGGAAACTTAAAGAATGCTATGGAAATGTGAAGCAGCATCCTATTATCCTCGTGACCAATCCCTATTCAATTATTTTCAGAGCAGGTACCATTCATAGCTTAAACAGGCTCAATCATGGTACTAATGAAAAACTCAACATTGAAAAACACTGTGTTTTTGTTTTTTGCTTTTTACAAATCTATTCTAATTAATTACCTCCACCGCAGGAGTGAGAGGCAAGAATTGCTTGATATATTTCCCATCTGGAGCCCTTGAAACATTCATGTCTGAACAAAGTCATACTCAATATACTTTTTCTGTTAAATTTTACTAAAAGATAATAGCTACCATTTGTATGCATGTTAGATTTTACAAAGTACATGTATGCACTTAATTCCTTTGATTTCTGTAGTGATATCAATTCATATACTATTATGCCCAATTTATAGATAAGAAGCTGAAGCTCAGAAAAATCAGTACAGTAGTGGAAAGGAGTTGCTGATGAAGAATGGTGTTTGTGTATGGCAATTATAGAGGGCAGATTTACTGGCTCCATCAACAACTCATTAGCTTTTTGTGTGGTTGGGTATTCTTACATCTCTGCTGAGACTGAGAACTTACCTGTAGTCCCGCTTTTACTCTTTGAATTAATATATATCAAACATTTTCTGGGTACTTACCCAGAGTTAAGCTCTGTTAGACACTGTATATGCATTAGGTAATCCCCTTGATGTATTATTATATACATTTTATTTAATTTTTTAAGACTTAAAATTGAATTAATATTTGTACAGAAAGATGCAGGTCTTACTATACATATTTTATGAAGAACTAGAGGTTCCGAGAGAGTAAGCAATTTCCCCAACATCACAGAGCCAGCAAGTATAAGTGTAAAGGTTTGCCCTCTAAAGCCATGGCTGTACCTGTTCTATTTGCTGCCTGGGGGTGGGGGTTGGAGGTCCAACAGCATTCTCCTGTTGATATATACAATTTTGGGGCTCTCAAAAATTTGACCTCTTTTTCTGTACCCAATCCCATATCCTATCATGAGTCTTACCTTAGATATTTCTCTAATGAGGTTCATCTCTTTTTCCCACACCCCAAATGCATGTTGCCCACACCATGTTCTTACTGGGCTCTTGTTCTCGCACCTAAAATGCCCTCTGTCTTCTCCCTCCCCATCAAACCCATTAATCCTTTATGAACAGTTCAATCTCCCTCATTCATGACAAGTGTCTCTGTGACTTGGTTTTACATCTTCCTTGGCTTCCCACAACACAGTCTACTTCTACCATACATACCTTGTGATTCTGTTTTCCAACTGTTTGTATTTTATTTCTGCACCAATACTGCAAAGCTTGCTTCTTTGTGTCCTGGCACAGTGCGAAGCCCAGTTCAATTCACAGACACACAAACACACATGTTGAATATACTCTTGGCAAACTAAATAATAATTCCTCTCTATTTGGCCCTGCCCCCAGGGCCACCTGTTTTATCGGCAGGCTCTCCACATTCACAAAAGAAATTCCTGGGGCGCCTGGGTGGCTCAGTCGTTAAGCGTCTGCCTTCGGCTCAGGTCATGATCCCAGGGTCCCGGGATTGAGCCCCGCATTGGGCTCCCTGCTCAGTGAGAAGCCTGCTTCTCCCTCTCCCACTCCCCCTGCTTCTGTTCCCTCTCTCGCTGTGTCTCTCTTTGTCAAATAAATAAATAAAACTAAAAAAAAAAAAAAATTCCTAATATTATAACTATAAAGAAAACAGTTATAAGACACTATATTTTTAGGAAACCAGGCTACATCGGCTAAATACAGTATGTAGGCTTTCTGTTGTCTGGGACAAATCAGTCTTGGCCAAATTTTCACGAGCTTATGAGGTTTACCTGTTTAAGGTGCTCACTGAGGGCAATTCTCAAGCTGCCGTTCCTTCTGTTTAACATCTCACAGGTCATAAGGGTGTAGAAGATCGCAGTGCACACCAAGGGCATGCAGAAATAGAACCCGAAGAGCCACCAGTCCTTTACATCTTGGTAAAACTGTAAGGTGAAGAAAAGGGAGAGAAAAGGAGGGGCATTATAATCTAAATTTATTGGGCAGTGCCTCTGGTAGCTTCAAAATCTTCACGCCTGCAGGAATGTTTTTATGTGCACGCCCTCCGGTTGTGGCAAAGGGCTTGGGGCTGAAGCTCAGAACTCAATTAAATTGGAAACTCCAAAAATCATCCTGGATTTATAAAAGCACAGGAAGGAATGGCACTTCAAAATAAATTATCCTGACAAAGATACGTTTTATGAACTGAAGTTGGTTTTAATTACACAATGGAAGAGCCCTAGTCAAGAAAAAGAATTCCCTTCCGAAGCTCATAAAGCATGATTTTGAGATATACAGAATATGTATTTATCTTTACTTATTGATGAGCCTCAAAATTTTGCTAGTGCCTGGTTTCCTTTTGCCCCTTGTGGTTAAAGTGTACTTAATGTGAATCTTGTTTGGTAACAGCGAAGGTTATGAATGGCTTGTCTGTGTAGCTTTGGTTCCTGGGAGTTAACCCTTTGCCTGGTATGCTTGCTATGTGACCTCGCAGCCGGCCAGTTTGAGCCATCAAAAACCATGCCCTTTCTCACTGTTGTAATACTTATCACCTGGAAACTATTGAGGCCGAGTATCTTATCTAAAGGCATAGTTAGCATTATCTCCTTGTGGGCAGGATTTGTAAATGCAAGGATTATTCAGTTTTATGTCTTTTTAAAGGAGAAAATTTAGTACCCAATAAAAAATGGAAATTAGAAAATTATATCTACATTCTTCCTCCCACTAAATTAATCACCAACTTAGAAATGCTTTTCCCTATGCTCTTTCTCCAGATTGTTTATTTACGAAGGATAATGGGGCCTCCTGTATCATCTCAGTTCCCACAGTAAAAAATAATCATGCTGCTCTGTGAAAAACTGGACAGTTGCTGAATATAGAAAGAGGCCCAGTAGGCTACATTTGTAACATGTCTATTAAAATAATCTATAAATGGTTCCTGAGGAAAAAAAGTTCTGGGCAGAGGTTCTTAACTGTTCTTATGCCATGGATTCCTTTGGATGTCTGGTGAAGGCTATAATCCTTTCTGAGAATAACACTTCTATATGCATAAAATAAAATAAGATTACAGTGGTAACCAATTACATTTAAACACAGCTATTGAACTATTGAAAATAAAATTCTGATATAGTAATAAAGGTGTTTATTAACAAATTAAGGGAAAAATCTAATGGTGGTTCTAATAACTATCAGAAGTTGAAACAATGATGAGCATAAATGATATTTCAAGATTATCCAACTGTTATTGTGACGTGAAAATGTCTATTATTTCTATTAGTGGAAATATAATGGTTTTGTTAAATATGATCATGGTTTGTTGTCTACATTCATAATAAAAGGAAATGATAAATTTCAGTTAGAAGTTAGTGAAAATAAATATGTAATTTCTTTTCCATTTAAGTTCACAGACCCCTGAATTCTATCCTAAGGTTAGTGCAAACTACCAAAGGAGTAGGTTTATTCAGATGTGTTCATATAAATATCTCCCTCTCCACATCACACGGTAGAAAGATTTCAGTACTGAAGTCGAAAAACCAAAAAAAAAAAAATCAGAACTCTTTGTTTAAGTGCACACAAACACTCCTTTGAGCACCCCCTTCACTTGTACCCCTGTCTTCCAGATGCATTGATGACCGGGTGTGAATGCTGCAGAAGTAGCTGCAGAGCGTCTGGAAGCTGACCCCTGAGGGGTCTGGGCGGAGTCCCCTGCCCCCTCCAAGGCAGAGGCCTTTAGAGAAAGGGGTCACATATTTCTTTTGAACTGATGTCATCAGCCAGGGTGTGGGGGGACCTCCCTCCAGCCTAGGTTAGGGCAAAGTTGAGGAGGAAAGAATGGAACACAAACTGGGGAATCAAATGAGAAAAAAAGAACAGGAGGAGAAAAAGAATCTGAAAACTTCAGGCTTGGAATGGAATCTAAAAAATGATCAGTTTGAACTCCTACCCGTTACTGAAACCCCCTAAGGTAGCTAGCCTTTGCTTGCCCACTCTATACAGGAGACTCAGTCTTTGCAAAACAGCCCATTTCATTTTGTCTAGTTCACATGATTAGTAAGCCCCTTCTTGACATTCAACTCCTGAAGGCTAGTAAGCCCCTTCTTATATTGAGCCTCTTCTTTCTAACACTTTAGTCAGGAGTATCTAGATTGCTTATTCCCAGTGCCCAAATTCTGATAACCTCCTGCCATCTACTTTGTTCTTTCACTATGGAGACTGACTTAATAAAAAGGTCAGTAGATAAACAGAATACCTTCATTTTACCATTGCCAGTTTGGCAGTTTTCAAGAGCACTTTTTTTTTAAATTTTATTTTATTATGTTATGTTAATCACCATACCTTACATCATTAGTTTTTGATGTAGTGTTCCATGATTCATTGTTTGCGTATAACACCCAGTGCTCCATTCAATATGTGCCCTCTTTAATACCCATCA